CTACTAGCGCGAGACAATGGATTTTAGATTTCAACTTGTAAATTTCAATGGAGGAATTACGAAATCCTTCAAATACTTTCTTAATGCTGTCCGAAGTGGTTCARGGATGTTGTTTATTTGTTCGAAAAAGCTCAAACATGAGTGCATTGACAAGAAGGGAGATTGTAACAATCAGATACTTTTTTATCATATAATTATCAATGAAACACCCCGGCAGGTGAAATACCTATCTTTGACAAATAGCTTTCAACGAGACTTCAAAAAATCTTGTAACAGCCATAAACTTTACAAATGTAAATCACTCCACGATTTTCGCACGTACCGGCCAGGGACCACCAAGAATAGTGAAAACTAGTTTCGTTTATTAAAAACCTCTTCAGTTCACTATATGTTTTACAACAGTTGAAGAAAAATTCGTAAACAAACATTGATGGGTAGCGCGCACTAAAGGCGCGCGCACCAACACAAAACGAGAAAGGTGAGCGCGCATACAAAACAACTAATTAATTTACTAATTAATTCTAGCACGCGGGATATTAGCAAAGTTCCACTCTTTCTTCGTGTTCATTTCTGGCTTCACTTTGTTTATAAGTACGGCTTCACTCACTTGTCTGAGTAGAGCGTCCCCCTGGAAAACATTTGTAGCATCACACGTGAGGAACAACTGGTACAAGAAAGGTGGATATAGCAGTGTAGTTTTCATACCAGCTACTCCTGATTCTGAGTTAAAGAGGAAGTTGGAGGACGATGTAAGAAGTTCAGGCATCAAAGTCAAAATCGTGGAGAAAGCTGGCGTAAGTGTGAAACGGATGTTACAAAGATCGGATCCGTTCAAGGAGAGAGCGTGTAGACGAGAGGATTGCTTTGTTTGCTGTACAGGGGGTAATGGTCCTTGTAGAGCGACCAGTGCCACGTATAAGATCAGTTGCAGCGAATGCAGCCAGACGTACATAGGAGAAACATCCCGAAACACGTACATGAGAGGAAGAGAACATTTGAGGGAGTTGGACAATAGAAGTAAAGGTTCAGTCTTGTGGAGTCATGCAAGAGAGGAACACGAAGGCAAGATTCCTGATTACACGTGTGATGTTACAAATGTTTTCCAGGGGGACGCTCTACTCAGACAAGTGAGTGAAGCCGTACTTATAAACAAAGTGAAGCCAGAAATGAACACGAAGAAAGAGTGGAACTTTGCTAATATCCCGCGTGCTAGAATTAATTAGTAAATTAATTAGTTGTTTTGTATGCGCGCTCACCTTTCTCGTTTTGTGTTGGTGCGCGCGCCTTTAGTGCGCGCTACCCATCAATGTTTGTTTACGAATTTTTCTTCAACTGTTGTAAAACATATAGTGAACTGAAGAGGTTTTTAATAAACGAAACTAGTTTTCACTATTCTTGGTGGTCCCTGGCCGGTACGTGCGAAAATCGTGGAGTGATTTACATTTGTAAAGTTTATGGCTGAAATACCTATATTTCTCCATTTCGTAAAGTTGTTATTTTCACTATTCGAGGTTTATTTATATAGAAAAAAGGTATATTACGACATAATGATAAACAGAATATTACATGATTGCTTGGAGATACAAATTTTATCTTCTCGCCGGTTGAAAATCTCTCACACGTTCGCTACGCTCACTTGAAGAAAAAAATCCGTATGATCCGCGCCCATATGATATCCTCTATATATCATGTTTTTCTAACTAAATTATAGCTGTCATGAGCCTTAAAAGATATTTCCTATACTGTGTGTCGACATACATATTTCTCTGATTCTACATATGCCAATTCATGAGAATCCTTTTTATGTTATTGTAGCTATTTTTCGATTTAAGCTAGCGATTGTTTGCTCTAATATACAACTGTGCACATAAAACCGAAGTCAACTGAAGTTAACGATTGCGTAACATGAGGGCAGGGCATTACAATAGGCATTGTGTCTACTTTTTTGAAATATTGATAAGTGCGCAAAGCTCAAATGTGTAAAGATCTTTGTGTTATTTGTAAAGGAGAGCTAAAAGAAGGACACTTTRTTAAGCAGTTATGGAGAAAGTATAGTGAAGGAATTATCAAAGTAAGTAAAGTGGTGTAAATCGCTCCAGAACGTACCCGAAAAAAGCTAATATAAACTGCACACCGATTGGCTCAGATGGTTGAGCATCATCGGGCTACAGAGTTTGAGATCGTGGGTTTGTACCCCGGCCGGACCAATACTCAGGGTCTTAAAATAATTAAGCAGAAGTTGCTTCTACTTAAATTAATTCTCCATCTGCAAGATCTTCACGTCGGAGGTCCCGTCTACTCAACTCTAACCCTATAGTGGACGTTAAATAACCACTTACTGAGGACGCAGGTACGACCATCACTTACTAGTGTCTGTACTTCGACCGCATAACCCTGGAGGCACTTACACACTAATGCACTAACCAAATCTAACTTACTCATGTTTGTAAACTGCACGGCTGCTTGATGCGCCTTCAATAACAGTCTGTCCAAGTCTCTCACTAACTATGTAATTCATATGTCTAACTTAATAGCTATACTTAAAAGGAAACGATGTCGCAAAAACAACTTGGAGTGTTTAACCGCTTGTGAGTGTCGCATATCTGATTTGAGTTTCTTTCGTTCTCTCCCTTACTTCAAGGGTTTTAATTCCCGTGACAGCACTCCTATGTGTAAGTGTATGTGTCTGTTATATAGCAATTCGACTCGAGAACGCGTCCATCTGCGTCTTTCGCAATTGAGCGCCTGTGCTGCCATGAAGGATCATTAGCATCCGACACGTTTTCCTTTTCCCTCCTTTCCAATCACTAGACGATGATGAAATAGCTGACTAGAAGAAGTACACAATTACCATCAAGATTGCCGTTAGTGTTTAAGCTATAAATATACGTTACAAATAACTGTATCACTTGCGTACATATACTGGATTTTTATAAATAGAATAAATTGAAGAAAAAGCCACACAACTTGTAACAGGGTTTCCACTTTTTATTCTTCGTTTCGGCCATTCGCCCTTCTTCAGTAAACTGAATGCTTTGCGCGCGCCACTGCTACTAAAACAAAATGCAAAAAGCGCAGCGGAAGTATAATTTTAGGTCTTGCATTTAAGATAGAAAAGATGAACTGTGCATAAATATTATGCAATCTGTAATTTGTACGGTACAGCCTAGCTTTTGCACAAATTATGAGACATTTTTATATDTATAAATATACAGCCTTTTGCAAAAATTATGAGAATTGTCGAAATATCYAAATATCATAATATCGAGTGCATGATGGGTAATCCCGCGCGATGCCCTTAGTCCCTTGTCTTTGTTGTTTAGTTTTTTTTGGCGACAGACTTATCCGTAGTTCTGAACATTTTCTCGATGTCAACAATGAATTATTCTAGCAAACCCGCGTGTTCCGGACAATATATGGATATGGATATTATGATATTTAGATATTTCAACAATTCTCATAATTTTTGCAAAAGGCTGTACCTAACCAAATATCAAAAACACCCCAGAAATTATGGTATATCTCTATTAAATTTTGTCATGATTGCCTAGCATCAGGTTGTTACAGACAAAATATCAGCGACGGTATCCCATAATTTCTTGGGTGTTTTTGATATTTGGTTAGGTATATTTATATATATAAAAATGTCTCATAATTTGTGCAAAAGGCTGTACAGCCTTTTGCAAAAATTATGAGAATTGTCGAAATATCTAAATATCATAATATCGAGTGCATGATGGGTAATCCCGCGCGATGCCCTTAGTCCCTTGTCTTTGTTGTTTAGTTTTTTTTGGCGACAGACTTATCCGTAGTTCTGAACATTTTCTCGATGTCAACAATGAATTATTCTAGCAAACCCGCGTGTTCCGGACAATATATGGATATGGATATTATGATATTTAGATATTTCGACAATTCTCATAATTTTTGCAAAAGGCTGTATCATAATAAATATACCTATATAGTAATATAGTAATATCCTGTTTCCTACTTTTTTATATTTTTTACTCATAATTGAGTTGCAAGAATTATAGTAAAGACGTTTTAGAGTGTATCTGTTGATTTTGGATATGATTAGAGAGATTTATGATAAGAAAAACGCCAGCTTCCGGTTCCCAGCCTCGTTTTCATGCTAGTAAAAACTATGACATAAATTAAAGGCGATTTTGTGGCTGTTCCACAACTTCGATTTCATATGATTTTTAATATCAGGGTCCGTGCAGGTCCTTTTAAATCCTTGAAATGTGCTTGAATTGAAAACTCGTTTTCAAGGGCACTTGAAACTCCTTGAAAATTTTAAAATTTCGAAAAAGTCCTTGAAAACTCCTTGAAAAAGATAGATTTCTATCACGATGCGCTAGATATCATTTGAATATTGTTTTAAAAAATAATGACTGAAAAAAACAAGCCGTATATGACGCAAAGCATGTTTTTCACCAGTTCCAGATGACGTTAGAAGGACTTTTCTATTCGCTGATTGGATCCTTGCAAATTATTGGAAGGGAATGCTATATTTAACGCCAAGTTTCTGATTGGTCAGTAACGGTTGGTGACGTTATTTCCTACGCTATAACTTTTTAGCAGTACCTCATAACATGAAATAAATCATTATTCTAATTATAACAAGGTAAAGCAATTTGATTTTGGGCTATCSTCCTTCACAGAGAGAACACGTTACTCCGTGTAACAATGAAACTAGGGAAAATCAGTTTCAGGAACCTTTTCAAATCGTCAAACCATGGCCATTCTCACCGACAAGACCGTGTTGATTCAAAATGTAAGTCTGTGGAAACTATCGAGGCAGCTAGTTCCTTACCTGCTATCTATGAACATGAACCTGGCATCGCTGAATTTCATCCGAAAACAAGTATTCCAAAAAGGTCAGTAAAGTCAGTAGCTGATGATAGAGACCTGAAAGAAGTTAAAGCCATGACCTTCCTGGCCAGATTGTCGAACCGCAAGAATARAAGTGAACCGAGAAGAGGATCCAGGGAACGATCTTTAACATGGCCGATTGTCCTCGATGAACAACCAAAACGCTCCAAGCGAACCTTGCCGTTTATCAAGTGGTACCGTAAAAGAAAGAAAAGCAGAGCACATAAAGCTGAAAAGGAAAAGCAATCAGTCGARGCTAAACCAAGAGGGAGAGCACAGACCATGACAGTTATCGATAAAGAAAGACCCAACACCGAGGAGTTGTGGTGGAGGGACATACATGAACCAATCGAGAATATAGTGGAAATTATTCAGAAGAAATACCGTGAAGGTGACAGCAACGATAACGGTACCAAAAGCTATGAAAAGTGACTGCCTTTAGCAAATCAAGTCAGTTTTTTTTAATATAATTAAATCGGAGAGTCTTAACGTCAGGCAGCCTGACAGAGTGATTGAATGAACACTAAACGTTATGCGATCAATTTTTTTTTTTTTTAATCAGTAATCGAAGGTATTTTTACTTAATTTTTAAACTGAACTTATGGTTATTCATTCTATCAATTTTTTTTAACTTGTAAATGGAACTTATGGTTGTTCTATCAATTTTTCAAAAAGAGAATGCTTAAAGTGCACATGAACATTTTTAACAAAAGGCAAATATGATACTAATTCTTTTTTTTTTTTTCAAGAAAAAAAAGTTGTTTGAATTTTATTTTCTGAGTTAAAGGCATTTGAAAATTGAATTCAKTAGATATACGAACTTTGAAGGAGTCGCTCAAGTCCATTGTTTTTCTATAAAGTATCAAAGTTATTCGCGAGCAAAATAGCGACCGTGGTATGTACTTGATTTACCACGGCTCTCGACTAATCAGAAAGCGAGATATTATCATATGTGGTAAAAATGAAAGTTTTCAAGGCTATCGTAATAACGACATTTTCTCGTGCTCTCTTTTGTATTTAATCAAGTCTTTTCGCGAGAGAATATATGTATAAAGCAGCGGTACTCTATTTGTAATACATAGATCATTTTGATCAGTACTCCACGATATTTTATGTCATTATCGAAATTTCTGTTGTCACTTTTGTTTGTTATGATTTAATGATGTGTAATAATGTGTAATAACGACAAGTATGATTTTGTAAATAACAGTAATCTTTTAAAATTCAGTGCATGTAATTGTATCCTTTAAAATATAAGGGAATGCTATGAATGGTAAGTAAATAGACCTAACCCGTTGCTATCAACGTTWCCACCCAATTCAAACCACCCGGGAGAATGTTGCATTTTTCGTTATAGTATTTTCAGTTCACAGTTGAATTCTTAGCAAGAAAAATTTTTTMCAATAGGATTTGAATTGGGTGGTAACGTACATAGCAACGCGTTAGCCGATTAGGTCTATTTGTCAATAAAGATGTTGCTTCTAAACATATATTTGTTCATGTACCTGTCTATTACCTTTTGGAATATGATGGTGTATTTTGCACACAAGGCCGGAACTATGGACTATCTTTGTACATTTCTTTCGGCCCTGTAGTCTGGTCTACATTTGGCGGACAACAATAGGCAATAGACACTAATTTTCTGACCTTTATTTCTTTGAACGCGCACACTTCTTGTCTACGGTTCCCCTCATTCATATGTTCCAGTATTACGATTTACAATAGCAAATATAAGAATTACTAGAAAAACTTAATAAGCRTATAGAAAAAAAWTTTATGCACGGTATTTTGATACTAGAAAAAAGTCTACTTACAATTTGTTGCAATTTTCCAGGTAAAAAAGGTCAGAGGGCTTGTCCTAACTTTCCCAACAAAAAACTTTTCTCTTGACTATTGTAACTAAGTACACGTCATATTGACGTCAATATACTAAATATGGCAACACAGGAAACCCAAAAATATATGTAAATTCAAGATGGCCGCTCGTAAACATGTTTTTTGTGCTMAAAACAATCTCGTACCCAGCGCCACTGTCCCTCTTATTCGCAGGCTCGACGGAAAACATTGGCTCTKGAGATGTCCAATACCGGAAGCCAGAATCAGGCTACGGATTGAAATGCGCATAATCGGAATTAAACAATTTATTTGACTGATTTTACTCAAGAAAATTGGCTAAATGCAAGCCTTCGAAGTCAGAAAAGGGATATTTTTAGACCTAAGATGATAAATCTATCTTCTTCGAAGCTATTTTGATGATCTATTATGATCAGAACATGACGGTTCGTCGCCTCGCTGTATTCCATTTTATACTTAATTGATCATATTACTCTCAAATGCCCACTTCATAGACTTAAAAAATGCTTTTAAAGGAAGAATTCAAGGTAAAGTAGGAAAATACAGAATGATTTGAGTCTTTTTCTCGGTGATATTTTCACTTCGGGCGGCAAGTGTGTTTATTTTATGAGCCAATCAAAGAGCGAGAATTTTTGGTCTACTCCAGAGCCAATTAGTTTTTCGTCGAGCCTGCGAGACTGCGAGTGAGAGGGACAGTGGTCCCGGGTACGAAATTGTGCTAGAAAGAATTCTACTTTAAAGTGATTCAAACTTGTCTAAAAAGGTAAAATGATGTACAAATTGTTGCCTAACATACCGGCCCCAAAGAAGCTACTGGGAGCTTAATATTTCCTTAGAATTGAACGTGCAACATTTATTCTACTAATTAATGCTAAACTTAAAGTTCTCATGTTGAGCTAAAGGCTCAAAGTATATCATCTTAAAGTTCCTTAACGGCTTTCCATGCTTGGGAGTACTTCTATGCTTGGTTGGGGTTCGTCGATGCTTGGTGGTCGATCTTTCAGGGGTCACTCTGTCCTCTGGTAAGTTTGACATCATTTSATAGCTTGGGTTGGCATTCTTTCTTTTGCAGACAAAACAGCGATTAAGCAGATTACGTTCTATAGATCTTGCCTTTACTAGCCAGTACCTTTGTCTTG